CCCAACGCGCTGCCACCTGAGTCCACAGACCCCGAGGAACTCCCCAGACCTCCACAGGAGGTGAGTGCTGCAGTGCCTGAGGGCCACAGTACTGGGCTAGAGGCAGTGCAGACCCCTACTCTAGGACCCACCGAATCAGACGGGAGTGTTCCTGACTCTGCGGTCCCAGAGTCCGATGGAGTGCCACTGACGGAAAAGTGCCCTGAGCCTAGTCCACCTTGTAGGTCTCAGAGAACGAGACGTGCACCCACCTACCTAAGTGATTACGATTGTTCGTGAATGTTTTTGCTTAGGGGGGAGGGATTTGTAATGTATTCAGATGCTGCCCTGAATGCATTAGGATGAACGTGGAATCATCCCATAGAGAAGCTATGCTAAGCTTCAGACTTCGGCAAGGATTCGCGCCGAAAGCATTGTGTCCAATCACATTTGAACTGTCTGTAAGTGGGAACGCTTATGATTGGTCTGTTATGCGATCAGCCTGATAGGTTGATAAATGTATAGTAGGTGCTATAGTTGGAACTGTATATTTTAGTATTTTAGTATTATTGAGAGTGATGTCTTTGTAAATTTGTAATTGATGTGTATGTAAACTTGATGGGAAATCCAATAAAATTATTATTTAAAAAGCAAAAATAAATAAATAAATAAAAAATAAATGTATAGTAGGTGTGGCTACACTAGCCCGGAATGTTTAAATACCGAACAGCTACAATGAAAGTTGGTTCGGGCTATCAGAGAAGTTGTACCGTGTCAGAGAAGTTGATCGTCGAGCTGAAATAAACCTGAGTTTTGCTGAAATCACTCTCTGGCTATTTTGTTAAGCACGGACTTAACAGGCAGGCAATGCTTCCCAGATGTTGCCGTGGGATCGCGCACATTTGCTTCGCCCCCGATCTGTCCCGCTCCCGGCCCAAAACCCCTAGTGTGAACAGGACCTTTGTTCATCATTTTGTGTCACCACTAATTTTAAGTGCTTGAGCGCAGCTTTAATTCATAGTCATGTATTCTATACTCATCTGTGATATTGTACTGATCTTAATTCATCATTGTATAGAAATTGATAATTATTAACTATAATAAATAAACACAATAAATAGTTAAAATAAATAAATATTTGTAGTTATTGTTGATTGAGTATTATAAGTATTTTTCTTGATAAAATCTGGATAGGTTAGATAAACCATATACATATCGCTTTGTAGTGAATCCGATTTTAAATCTATCATTGGTGCCAATGCTTCGCTCAATAATTCTTTTAAATTCTCCCCTTGTTGTTCTGGGATACCCTGGAATCGTAGGACATGTAGTGATTTCTCCATTTGTAGCTGTAATAATTGCTCTTTATCGGAGATCTGCTCTTTCTCCACTGTCTCCAATCGCTGCTTAATAGTGTTTGCCTTATCATCAAGTTTTTTCAATGCTTATTCGTTTCATCTGTCTTCCTCGCTGTATCCATTATTTGTTTCTGGAGACAGTCTAGTTTATTATTGATATTAGTCATCTGGTCCAGCAGAGGGCACAACAGTGTGGCCATCATGTTTGGGAAGTCAGTGACTGCTTCCGGTTTAAGAGCTGAGGTCACTGAACCGGCATTTCCTGGAGAAGGTCTTATCTTTTTCGCCATTTTGCCCCTCTGGTCAACATTGTTTACACAAGAAAAAGTCCGCTTGAGTAATCTGTAAGTCTGTCTATTCTATTCCACTTTGAACTACTTTGCACCCCGTTTGGCTACGTTGTAGCTTTTACAGTTAGAACTGTCTCTTGCCTCCAAGCTATCACTTAAAAAACACTTTTCTTTTCAAGGGGGGGACTCCCCTGCTCCTTCCCTCCCTCTGTGACAATTTGGGGCTTGTGATTGGTTCTCCACTTTGGCACTTGGTTAGCTCATCAGGGTTTCGCTTAGACTCACAGTTTAGTCCAACGATTTTCTTCCAACGTAGGAAAGCCTCTGAATTGCAAGATCACTTGCTCGCCTCATCTGGTGTGCACTTCTAAACTCCATGATGGTCTCATGGCAGTGGGACCTATCAGGGTAAAGGGGGGCCTCAATTCCTCGGCCGTCGCCTTTGAAGAGGCACCCCTCAGCACCCCAGGTTGCGAGCCCCCTGCAGGGGCTCTTGGGGGGCTCGGAAACATCCAAGACCCCTCCCATCTGCCATGACTACGGGTCACTCACATCGGAGCACGATGGAGCGCACCCATCCAGCAAATCGCCAAAACCAGAAGCTCAGTCTTTGTATCTTTAAAAGTGCCCCATAAAGCACCGGGGGGCACATCACAGCAGGAGTAGACAGAGGCCATGGTTACCAGTGGAGTCCTGGTCAATCAGTGCCTCCAGGGAAATCCCCCTGCTATCATGATGAGGCCTTCTGGAGGAGGGACTCACACAATGAGCTGTCTAGGTGGGAACTCTTTAATGATAAAATTTGGCTGTAACTGAGGTCCCTCACATAAAGCCAAAGGACGAACTGGGCAAGGCAAAACAACCATTTAGACGTGATAGCTCGCAAAAGGTTTGCTGAGAATATAACCAGGGCAGGTGTCAGCATTCCCTTTGCAAGCTCAAACATCTTTGGTCTTCATCCAAGGCTGTGCCTGCATGGCAGCCTCCCCCAGTTTTGGGGTCTCCCTTAGGGGTCTTGGGGGTGGAGCCACTTAGCTGCATGCCCATCACCAGGTGGCAGGGAAGCCATGCAGTGGCCAACACCCACATGGATCCTGGGTCATACCACTCCACAGTTTTATCCCCCAGCAGACAGGGTGGGGTGTGGTTATTGGGCAGCGGGTGGGTCACCCAATGTTGGATCCACCCCCATGTTGTGCCAATGCTCCTTCGGCTGTATCAAATAAAATAAGTTGTAGCCATGTTTTCACCAAAAGATTGTGTCTCACTGTGTTATTTATTTCATTGCCTCGCCTCTGATCCCTCCTTGGACCCCACAAAAAGTAACAAGTGAGACTGCCTGCTTCACATTGATTTGAACAGGCTACCCAAAGCTGATTGCAAGGTCTTCTAAATGTGATAAGGCTATTTGTATTCAAGGCCCTCTCTGGAGACTGTGGTTCCCAGCACTGGACAAGCATTCTGAGCTTGCCTTACCCACCCCAATAGGTTTACAAGTACACATTTTGTCTGAGACCCTGGCTGTATCCCCCTAGCTTCCTAAGTGAAAGTCCCGCTTTTCCTATGGCTAAAATAGGTAATTATGGGATTATACTGTGTTCAAAACAAATATGGTACGGTCTGGATGGCCATTTACTTTCTCCTCACACTGATAGATAATTGTAGTGGAATTTGACACACACATACCGAGCTGATATCTCTTCCCATAAAGTAGCAAGGAGCTATACCCCGGTATACTTATTTAGACCGTTTTAGCTGTACAATTACACACTCTTTAAATAACAATCTAAAACATTAGTTAGATATCATATGCCCTCGAACTAATTTTAAGAACTGCTCTATTTTTTAAGGCAGTACTTCATTGAAGGTTTTTAAGTCACAACCCTGATTGGTTGAAAACCAGGCCAAATTGTCACTTGCAACTGAAGGGAGGTAACCCAAATAATTAAGAAAATTGCCAGTGCAATAATAAAGTAACATTATCAATGTATATGATTCTTTAACATAAGCCAAAGATCCAGATCATAAACCTGAAAAATACCCTATATTCAATGCCCTCTTGCCTCAACTATATCAAATGCCTCCACTGTAGTTATGAGATCACCCAGTCAATTTAATGAGCTTTATCATTACAAATTTGAACCACGCATTTTAATATGTCAATATAAACACTTTTATTATAGGAGTTCTTTTATATAAAGCCTTTCATTTGTACACATCTCTATATCTGAACTAGCCAAAGTTCAACTTAATAAAGTTTCAGACAAAAATCTGTGAAGACTGTATCGAATACCAATTTTTATAAAGTTCTGTTCACTCATCACATGAGACACCGCAATATTAGAAAATAAAACTATACATACAACCTTTAATAAAGATCACACAATGGACAGCATATTACCAAAGTGTAAAGAAAATGTTTGCTTGGCTTCTTTGTGATTGCTATGAAGCTAATATTTAAAGATTGGACGTGACGTGTGATTTAAAAAGCAAGTTCAAACAAAATGAGCAAACTACAGCAGAGTGGAAAGACCTCTTCCTTCTATGCACATTTGGTCAGAAATTCTCAATAACTTGCCTCAGTCCAACAACTCTGTTGGGTATATCTAAGTGCTCCAACACATGTTGAGGGCCTCACATAAACAGGAAACTGACCAACAATAGGAATTATATGTACAATTTTGAGACTGCGGAGAAGAGGGGGCGGCATGAACAATTTCAAAATATATACCTCCCAAAATCTTCACCTTCAGGATTTTCCGAAGTCTCAATGCATGACCAGGTTGATACCCTCTCCCACATCCCCCAACTTTCCTTTAACTGGCTGTCATCTTACACTCAACTGTCCATGCTCCTAAAGCATTCTTTTCTTTCCCCCTTTGTTTAATTTACAAAGGCATCTTTTCTGTGTATCCGTGGAATCTCCCAAATAGGTAGCATCCTCTACCTTGTCTATGGGTAGCTCCACTGTGCTGCTTTTGTCATCCACAATTACCAATTAATATGATGATGTTAGATATATATATCTGAAACTCAAGAGAATTAAAACCATTTTCGCTGTTACTGAGGCCCAGGTGGATTTGGAACATAGCATCCATAAGGATCATAAGTCTGGCTTAGATCCTATCTTGATCTTTTTTTAAAAAAATGTGTACCACAATTTTAAATTATCAGATATCATGGAATTTTTTCTCTTATCTGGGTAGACTGACAAAAAGGACAGCTGATGCAGTATCTATTGAATTTTTTTATCATTTTGGACTGAACGTTGTCTAGATTGAACCACATTTCTGGGCATATTCAAAATCGAAAGGAATTGTTAACTGTCTGTGAAAAGCACTGGAGGAGAATATAACAAGAAAAAAATACTCACGTGGATAATCTTTTGGGTGTGTCTTCTCTGACCAATTTCCATAAAAGGTAAGCCTATATTTAGCCGTTCCACAAGCACAGCAGTCTAAGATTGGTTTCTCAGTCACACCATCCAAGGTGGAGTCTACAAAGAAAAAGAATTCCTTATTTTGCTACATGTGAATCAAAACACTAGAAAGGTTAGAACAAAATATTGGCATATTAAGTAATTTCTCTGTTTCTTTTCAGCTTAATTTATCTGTAAAAATTCTAGTATGATTTTATAATCATTTGTAGAGATGGGCAGATTTTCCCCTTCTTTTTTGTCATTGTTCTGTGGGTTCTCTCTGTCTTAATTTGCTCTACTTGACTTCCAATTTAAGTTAGATAACTGTTAAAAATGATTGTGAAATTGGTACATGTTAGGGCTGCTAAATGCAGCCGGGGGGGCGGGGATTCCCCCGCTTCGGACCTCCGATTACCGGCACGCCGGAATCGGGGCCCGGGGGAAACCCCACCCCCACGTGCGCGTCACCCAGAAGTGACGTCGCACGCTGGGGGCGGGGCCACGCGATTTGAGGGGAAAACAAAGAATTTTCCCCTCAAATGGCAGCCTTTTGAGGGGAAAACTCTTTGTTTTCGCCTCAAATCGCGTGGCCCCGCCCCCAGCGTGCGATGTCACTTCCGGGTGACACGCACGCGGTGTGCGCGCACGCTACACGCGCGTGCACGTGCCCGGGATCGTCCGGGAGCCCCCCGCTCCCGGACGATCTGAATTTGGCAACCCTAGTACATGTACATTTTCCATATTCAGTTTAGATCATTCTACTCTTTTAAATCACTTCTGTGCAACAACACTGATTTGATCTGGCCATATATGTGCATAAATTAAATCACAGAACAAAAAGGTATCTTGAGGCAACCATGAAATCACATTTTTGTGCTATGATTTAATCAATGCATACATGCACTGGGGCACATCAGTAACCAGCAAGACAGACGCAAACTGAAAGCTACAGCAAATTTCATGTGCAAAGTAATCTGAACAAGTCCAAAATTTTTAAAAAATCAAGAGTGATAGATTAATAATGCATCACTGATGATCCAAAAACAATACCAGGTAATTCATGTATGAAATTCAGGTTGGGAAAACTTTGTAAGCATCTCTAATAATTTCATAAGAATCCATGTCTCTTGAGGTATTCAGTATTTAAAAACATTTATACTTTGATTTGAAATTTTTGGAATATTGTAAAGGTGTACTTCTTTTTGCATGACTGGTCTAAGGACTGTAGAAATACATTGAATTGAATTGAATTGAATTGAATAATAAAGAATATAATTTTTACAGATCCAGTGGTCATACCACACTTCACTGCAGCTCAGCAAGGAAAGTTGTAGAATAATGTGAATATACTAAGTCCGCCATGTAACTTCTATCGGTGCTACCATCTGTTTGCTCTGTGTCACTTAGTGTTGTGAAAAAATTGCACTGTTACTAGATTCATTCTCTGAGGTAATGAAAGCAACACAAGGAGCAGAGTGACAGGGGATATCCAATGATTTGCCCACTATAAGGAGATTTGTAACTGAACTTAGCCTCATGGAACAATATACAGAGTGTTAAATATATACAGTGTATTTCTGGAAAGTAGCTGTTTGGGAATCCTTGAAGGCCTTTAAAAACAAGATGAGGGGATATGTGTACAGTGGTGGTGGTGGTTCTTCATAAAGCAGACAATACTGCATTCTGGCTCTCACTATCTATTTCCTGCACCATTGTACATCAGCTGTGCTGTTATTCCACACTGAAGTACACATTGTGTGTCTGACAGTGTCTATGATGGTTCTAGATCCATTCAACTATCTTACACCAAGACGGTGTCATTTCAAAGACAATGGCATGTGGTCCATTTTAATGTAGCTTAATTTTACAGGAGTTGCTCATGGATTTTGAACTTGAAATTTAGCCCATCAACCTTATGAGTTTGATCCTGCCAGCTTTTTCTTTCAGTCATGCCTAACTACCCTCCTTACAATAGCTCCCATCACACATGGCTTTTGTACTCACAGACCCAATGAACCCCGGCATAGCCTTTTTAGCTGGTTAAGTGGATCCCTCCTTCCTTCTTCAAAAGCTGGCTGGATCCAACCCTATGCTTATATAGGCTTCTATGACACTGGAATGTGTCATCCATGAGCAACTGGATTATGCTAGCAAGCTTCTGGTTAAGGACATCCTAGTTCATTATAAAACATAATAATGGATCAGGAGTGTAACTGCTGCATGCTACCGGAAAAAAATTAAAGGTGACTCCAACAGACCAACACTACCTAATTTTTTTAAAAAACTTGCCTTAGCACAAGTTTTATCTTCCTTATTACTAAGGCTATAACATTTATAATGCTATCCTAAGCAGACAGGAGGGTTGCCAGGCAGGGGAGCGATGTCTAGCAACTGGCAAGGGCACATACTGGCAGCAGGGACTCTCACCAACAAAGTAATGACATTGCCAGCAATGCACTGACATCACTCCTCATATGCACGATCAAGTTTAACTAGAGCATCCCTGGCATTCTCCCATGATGTGCTGACATCACTTCTGGGTACACAGGGAGTGACATCACCATGCTGGGATGCTGCCAATGTCATCCCCCCCCCATTACCCTCCATTTCTCCCCCTGCCACCCAGCTGAGCAGCAGCAGGGAAGCGCCTGTTGGGAGTGGGGGATCCCTCACCTCCAGAGGGGGACTGGGAAGCCTAGAAGTGAGGCCAATGGGCTTAAAAAGTTGTAACTCTCCTTAGGCTGAACTAATCGATCAATTAATTGATTAGATGAAATAACTAAAAACCTTCTAACACATTTAACATGTGCCCCTGATGAACTGGGCAGCATTTTTAAATTAAATGTAATATAAGTAGTTACAAAAATATAGCAGGTGTCACCTTAGTAAAGGTGTTTTTAATTTCTCTCCTACGTGAAAGGAACTGGCTCTCCTAAAGGGTGGTTTGATGCCACAGGTGCAGGCATCCTCTAAGAAAACATAGAATACAGGCTTTTCTCCAGAACCATGATTTATTCATATGCAAATATATGCAGACTTAATTAATTAATTAAAATTATATGATTGATCCTGTGGTCAGGTGACAGCCCTGTTTATTACCAACGCCATCTGGACCATCTGTTAATCCATTTAGAGCTGATTCAAGCCTGCCCTGTCTCAAGTTCTACAGTCCTCCCATGGGATGGTGTCACCTCTGTCTTCACGTGGGGAAATACTTAGCAGAACAAACTGAACAACTGACAGTCTGAGGTCTGTTTCAAATTAGCCTTTTAAAAACTTTTCATCTCTCTTTTAAATACTCATGAACAGTAGTCATGTACTTCAGAGGGATAAGTGGCTGCAGAGCATTCTACCTCACTTGAAAAAAGCCTGTTCCTGGGAAATTACTATCCAAGTTTTCATGGGATTTCATTTGTTTTGATGTATCCCCTGGAGTACCATTTTGACTTTTAGCAAGGATAATAACAAAAGTCATCATGATCCACAGCCCTGATCTAAGGCAACGATAGTTTCATAGGGTATCCACATTGGTCTGCAGTGGAACAGCCAAATTGCAGTCCGGTAGCACCTTAAAGACCAACAAGATTTTTTTTTGGGGGGATAGGGGCTTTGGAAAGCCAAACCTCCCTCCATCAGATTGTATAGAAAAAGGCTTTTCTAAAATCTTCCCAGCTGGGGCCATATGGCCTCACTGGTAACACTACCGCGTTATTCCTGTCACCTGTGCAAATGGCTTGCCAGATGGCCAGGCCAGCATCTCCATAAACAAGACACTTTGACACCTCTGCCAAGAGGGAGCGACTTGCCGGCGCCTTCCCAAGCCTGGGACAGCTATGCCCAGTACATTAACACATCAAAAGCAGTCCCTGGCATGACACATGGTCAATAGCAGAGGCTGGAGTGGGATGCCCAACTCCTAGCCAATCAAAACATACCTTGCCTGACAACGCATGGTAACCAGAGATGGGAACGCCTTCCCACTCTCTTACTATTGGGTAAATGGCCATACCTGGTAGTGACGGAGGGGGGGGGGTATATCTGCAATGATCCATATGGGAGTTGAGTTGAAAAAAGTTAAGTGAGTTTTTCTCTCTGGAAAACAAAGAGTTCTTTTGGATTGACTGTTTGCTGTTAACATGGAGTGAGATTGTTAGGCAGCCAAGCTGAACTAGCTGCCACAAAACGATGGGGTTCCTCTTCAAGATTCCCTGCTGAGACCTTGGACTATTTCATCTGATACCTCTGAAAGCTTCGTAACTATGACATGCCTCTGTTGTGTAGCTAGAGCTGAACAAGCTATAGATATCTATTGTTTCTTATCTTTTGCTAGTCTCATTTTATATGCATGCTTGTGCACTGAATAAAGATAATATATAATCAATATTATCTGGACCTGTTTTCTCTGTTGCAACCTGATCTCTAAGACTGAATCTTGTGTCTAAGCCGTTCGGTTAAGGAGGCTACCATTGTGTTATTTAATTGTTTGCAGGCCTGGTGCAGAGCTGGTAACGTGGGTCAGTCCCATAAAGCAAGGAAGGAGTTTGGGATCTCGGCTCCTGAGATTTGTTGTGGAACTGGTTAAAACGAGATCCTGGTGGCAGTCTACTGGTAAAGCCTGGAGAGTGTACAGACATTCTCCTGGTGTTTGTTTAATTGTTCCTGAACGCTTGGTCTCTCTCCCCATCCCTGGACTGGGGTGAGGGGGAGAAACCTTGACACAGATATTTTTCATTTTTATGTTTGTATTATCCCATAATAGAAATTGTATGTCTTGACAGAACTCCCGAAATTGGGGAGTGGATAAAGAAATTACTTTTTATGGTTGAAATGGACAAAATGACAAGAAAGCTTAAAAATCTGGAAGCAGAATAATTTTTCACAGACTGGAAAGACTTTAAAGAATATTTAGAGAAATATTGGGATGTAAAGAACAACTTACTTTGCTTTGATAACTATTGAAAAAAGAATGATATTAGAAGAAGGATAAATGTATAAGAATAATAGTTGAAAGATATGTTACCTGTAGAATGTGATTAACGAGTAAGGGGGAAAAGAAGAGAATTTAAGATGTGGGCTGG